AGTGTATGGTCAAAGTGTAGCAATATCTATTCATTTCTGTAGACTTTATCGCTTTGCTCTGTTGTGAACCCTAGCATGTGCCAGAATTAGTTCTTCTCAAGACATTCCCACTAAGGGTATAATAAATACTGGTGAAAGTTTCGTGTTTCTAAAACTCTGACAGCATTACTTCATTTATAAACCTCAGTTTATAAACCTCAGTTAGCTTTTCTCCTTGTTTTCAGTTGGGGAGGGTGCAGGGGCAGGGTGAACAACTGTTAGACTTTCACAGATTGGACCTTAATGAGCCTTAAGTATCAGGACTTAACTCACATGAGATGGAATTCCCAGTGTAGCAAATGGAGCAAGTCTATTTGACTTGGTACTTGGCTCATATTGACTTATTTCTAACCACCTACCAGCATCTTTAACCTCAAAGAACATTTTGGATTTATTGAACAACTTCCCTGTTCCAAAACAAATGCCCCCACCTCCATAGTATAATGTGCCTTTGGCTGAGCTTTCTGTCTCATGGGCTGCTGCCTGCCCCCTGCAGGCTCCCCTTCTGTTTGAATCATGTCAAGTTTCCCGATTAAAAGGCCCACTCGCTGGGTGACCTAAGTGACATGCAGAATCCCAAGGAGTGGAGCCTGGAGCCTGCCCAGGGCTGCCTGTATGTCTATTCTATGCTCTCTGGTACAGTGTCCCGGGAGCAGACGAGGAGGGAGATTAAGTGATGTGAAAATGGAAATGAGGTGAGAGTCCCTTTCGGTGAGTGAATAATTGTACTTTGAAGAGTGATTAATGGAATCATGGAAAGAAGTGATTAATGTAGCAGTTCCCAGTGGTCTCTGGATTCACAGTACCCTGGTGTCTCCGTAATTTCTTTGCAAATCTCCAAGGTCAGAAGAAAAGTTGAACAGTTTTGAAATAATAAGTAGGCCAGGTCAAAAGTGTTACAAAGTATTTATGTTCTAACAACTTGGCAGACATTTAAAACAATAATGTCCATAAATTGAGAGTAAGGCTTGTTATTTATTTTCCCCTTAAATATTTATAATCACTTACAGTGGTCAGGGATGATACACACATGAAGCCCTGCTCATGTTCTCGGGCCTTGGAGAAGCCATGGATGCTGCTATTTCATTTCTAAATTCATGTTGAGTTTTCACAAGGTATTTGATTTTTTTATCAGAATAGCCGTGAAACTGGAACCACAAGAAAGTGGTATCAAGAAGAGAAATCTAGCATGATTTGAAGTTTATACAGTGAGCTTCTCTGAGTTAGGATTTTGTCCCACCTAAAAGATACTTCTTTTATTTCCACACAAAAATGTTTATTTCCCCACCGTAGCACCCTATGGCATCTAAACACAGTTTGGGCACCTGAGTTAGATGACATGTTCTTCTCGGAAGTGACCAATTGCCCCCCGAACCCCAACCCAACAAGTGAAGTTTTGCAAATGGGATGAAAGATAAAAGTTTCTTTATACTTTACTAGAGTAATCAAGGTACCTAGGTACCTTGCCACAATCTCAACAAGTTGGATCATTCTTGATTTCATTGATGAAATGTCCACAGTTCTTTGATAAAAGTAAAAGGAGGGATGGGATTATTTCTCTTGTTTAAATCCTGGGGCCACAAGACAAGGGAATATTCAGTTACTTAACTTTGCATCTTAGACTATGTTCTCCATATTACATTTTCTATCTACTTCTTTGGAGCTAAAGAAAATGGAGTAAGAAATCATATTTTTGTAGTAAATTAGAATTGTTAACTGTGGCTGACAAAATGTTTAATGAGAGAGGAATGCCAGGAACATTCCTTGGCTTAGAGGGCTGTTCCATCCTGGCAGTTACATCAACTTGAAATAGATACATAGCAGCTTATATCCCTGTGTGTTATCCCAATGACAAATAACAACACTAAAGTTTCCAGTTAAATACATCTGAGGCTACATGAAAGTTAAGCCTAGTGTTTGTTAGCAGGGAGTTAGTGGTCCTGTTCTTTTATCCTCTGTGTCATCTAGAAGAGCAAATGGGAAAGCTATGTTTTGTTTTTTGGGCCACACCCGTGGTACTCAAGGGTTACTTCTAGCTCTGTGCTCAGGATTCATTTTTGGAGGGCCTTAGAGGACTCTATGGAATGTCAGAAAGCAAAGCTAGATTGGGCATGGGCAAGGCAAGTGCCTTGCCCACCATACTTTCCCTCTGGATCTGGAAGTTTGTTTTCTATTACAGAACTGTGATGTACAAAGGTATTGATAGTTGAGTTTTAAGCATATAATATTTCTTTTTTTAAAAAAATTTATTGAATCACTGTGAGATACAGTTACAAAGCTTTGATGATTGAGTTTCAGTCACATAATGATTGAACATCTGTCCCTCCACCAGTGTCCCCAGTATCCCTCCCTCCATCCCCACCGACCCCACTCCCTGCCTCTGTGACAGACACCAATCCCACTACCAGTGTCAACTTTCCTCTACCAGTGTTCCATATCTATCCCATCCATGTTTGTCAACCTGACAATCATAGTACAAATATATCGGTGGATACTGCTTAAGATCTCATTTTTTCAATTTTAAGTCTGTGTTTTGGATATGTGACTGTACCCCTCACTCATATCACTGTTATAACTGAGGCCCTGATGCCTCTTCACCCATTACTTCCCATTCTCTTTACCTCACCCCCCTGATTTCTTTCCTTCTCTGTCCTTCTCTCTAAACACTAGACTGAAGGGTGAACTAGGCATTCCGCTATTACTAGTACATTTCCTCTTTTAGTATTCTATATGCCATAGATTAATGAGATCATCCTGTGTTTGTTTTTTTCTGGCTTACTTCATTGAATATGATTTCTTTCAGTTCCAACCATGTTGCATCAAATGGCATGATTTCATTGTTCTTTGAAGCTGCATAGCATACAATAGTGTATATATACCACATCTTCATAATCTAATCTTCTGTCATTGGACACTTTGCTTGATTCCATATCTTACTGAGTACAGCAATGAATAATGTTGCGTATATATCCTTTAGAGAGAGTGATTTTATTTTCTGCGGGTAGATGCCCAGTGGAATTGCTGGGTCATATGGCAATTTAATTCTAGGTTTACTGAGAACTCTTCATACTCTATTACACATATCTTAGACCTCACACAAAAGTCAATTCAAAGTGGATCAAAGACCTTGAAATCCAACCAGAAACTATAAAGTACATTGAGGCAGAACGCTCTAAGATTTGGACCTCAAAGGTGACTTCATTGACCAAATACCACTGGCAAAAGGAACACAATAAAAAATAAACAAATGAGACTACAAAAAGTTAAAGATCTTCTGCATGGCAAAAGAAACACAGACTAAAACTAAAAGACAGCAACTGAGTGGGAAAAAATATTTGCATTCAACACATCAGATAAAGGTTTGATATATTGGAAGCTACTTTTAAGGTTGAGAACTTGCCTGCTAAGTTGAGTTGAAAGACCAGGGAGTGCTCAGACTGCAGAAACTGGGATTTCGGAGGAAGGGTGTGGTTATTGTCTTTACAGTTCAGCTTTCTTAATGTTTGAGGAATATTTTCTAGAGTGGCCCAGAGAACAGAAATGGTGCTTTTAAGTGTGTTTATCAGCACCAAAAGAGTAATAATAATGTTGGGTGTTTGAAAATGCCTCCGGAGCAATAATTTCTCGCCATCACAAATCTTAGTGAAGTGATCAAAAGCTCTTTCAGCCCTTAGGTTCTGTTTCCCCAGCTTGCTAATATCTTCAAAAAAATTGCAACGAGCTGACACGAGCACCTGTACAGGAAATTCAGTTTGCTGTCTCCCCAGATACATTTCTTTTCCCAGAACTGGTCACATTCAGTGTCAGGTTTGATTGAACTTTTGTGCTAGAAGCAGGCATTTGTGTGGGTGGGAAGCCAGCTGAGAGGCCCTCATTCTGCTCAGAGTCTGTGGATGCCCCAAGGAGTCCACAGGTGAGGCCCATGGGTGGGTGCTGTCTATGCACCCTGGGGAAGCACAGAGAGCTCCATTACTCTCAGTGTTTAAGGGCTTCAAGAGTTTGCCTGTCTATCTCCCAAGTCAAGTATCAGTATACTAGTTCAAGACTTAAAGCAAATAAAGTACTAAGCATTGTATCATCCTTTATTGTCTGATCTAAGCAAATATAATGAGCATTGCCAGGTGTTGACACCTCAGAGATGTTAGCTGGGCCTTTTCCCCAGACAACTTGAGGGCTTATGAAAAATAGTCCACCTTATTTGATTCCTTTGGAATTCTGTTGGAAACAATCCTTCTCAAGACTCCATGCTCTTCTCCTTTGGAGCTGAATTCTGCAGTTTAGCGTAGCTAGACCTTCTTCCTCTGTAGCATCCCTTCCTAAATCATAATGCTTTGGCTGCCCTTCAAACACTGTCTCTGTCTCTGGGCTACAGATGGAGAGTTCTTTCTTTCTTTCTTTCTTTCTTTCTTTCTTTCTTTCTTTCTTTCTTTCTTTCTTCTTCCTTTTTCTTCCTTCTAGTGCACTTTCTGCACTTCTCACGCCCTGCCAACTTTATTTCCCTTCTATCAAAGCAGATTTTATTGAAAAGTTTCCTTGCCGAGCCTACATCATGCATGATGTACAGCAAATCAAAAACAGGGTCTAGGTTAGTTTTCTGATTTATTGGGAAGCTGTTGCCTAAAACCCCTATAGCTTGCTTAACGGCCTTTGTCATTCCAAAGGGCACAGTTGAGTGATTTGGGTTTGAGTTTGCATGTATGGCTTCCTCTGAGCAGAGTGATTACAAATGGACTGTGTTTTCAGTTAGTTTTGAGTTGTGTATTTCATCTGTGAGGTTGGCACACACTTGAAAGCCACAAGCTACTGTTTTCTGAAAGCTTCTTTACCCAAGAGCAGAAAACGTATGTATTGAATTTGGAAATTATCCAGGAACTGCCCCTTCTAATGCAGCTAAATGTAGACTACAGCTGTTTCCTCCAGCCAGACCCCCACAGTCAAATTTTTCCTTTCTTTTCTTACAGAGTATCTCCTCTGCAGAAGTCTGAGATAGTGGACGTGGTTAAGAAGAGGGTAAAAGCCATCACTCTCGCCATTGGGGATGGTGCCAATGACGTCGGGATGATCCAGACTGCCCACGTGGGTGTGGGAATCAGCGGAAACGAGGGCATGCAGGCGACCAACAACTCAGATTATGCCATTGCACAGGTCAGAGGTGTGCTGGGCCCACTGTCCCAGGCTATTGAATGAGAAATGAGCTGCCCGTGAAGGGCTGGTTGGTGCTTGACCTTAAGTCTAACCCAAAGAATTCTGACACTCATTTTAAGACTGCTATCTAGACCAAAGCACCAGTATATTTGGATTTATATTTCAATTTATGGAGGCCCTCTTTTGCAAGTTGGCTTTCTTTAGGCCATTTGTGATATGGGTGAGTTTTCTAGAGTCAGCCAAGAAAAGATTTCATCCCTGACAGGTAGATCCCTGAGAATCGGAATCTCTTACTTTTAGCTCCTACATCGCTGCGTGTACTTTCTCTTATGCCGTGTTACTCCCAAGGGCAAGTGTGTTCATCATCTGGATTCTCAGCAATACTCACCCTGCATCTTTCTCAAAGGCTGGAGCGCAGGGGTTTAAGGTCAAGGGAAAGTTTATAGAGGTGGCCACGGTGCTGCCTAGGACCCTTGCTATGGGGTGAATTGCCAAGAGCATGAACTGGGCTTGGATTGTCACTGCTCTGTGTTCAGGAGCAAGGAACCCCTTGCAGTTCAGCCAAGTTCAGTTAATTCCTCTCTGGGTCAGACCTTGCCTGCAGGGGCTTCTGGTTCATTTTGTAGCTGATAGGCTTACACTTCGGGGTGAAAGGATGAAAGAAAGGATATTTCTAATTGACAGCCTTCAACTGAAGGAGAATCACCAACCTTCTGACCCTATAGACACTATAGACACTTGACTCTTTTGCTCTTCCAAAAAATAGATATGTTACAATGAGCACTAGTCATTTCCTCCCATCCCCAGATTGCAGCAAGTTGTGATTAAATGCCTGCTTGTTGGCTGACCGGCTAGAGTTCTCTCTTGCTTCTCCAATTTTCAGTCTTCCAGGAGAGGGAGAAAAAAAATGACGTGCTAACCTTAATCATATAAACATGAAATGATGATGAAATAATGACTTTTACTCTTTTCCTGCTGACACCCCAGGGTAGCACGCTGGTTCTCTGCCATGCTGAGTCTCCATTTCCCTGGGGGTAGGGGACCTCTGCCTTACATCATCTCCCATAATCTTCTCCCATTCCTGGTTCTGCAAGGGCAGAGAGGAATTTCAAAGTCCTCTGAGAAGTGGACTCTGAAAAGTGCAGGAAATCCATCTTGTGGCTTACTGGATTTCAAATCAGTTCTCAAGACAATTGCTCAAGTAGTAGAAGAAAAAAATCAGGATTTACAGATGAGAAAAGTGGGGATTCTTCACATGAGGGGGCCAGGCTCTGGTCTGAGGGTTCAGGGCCTCAGAGCTCCAGACTAGCACGTGACTTTGGAGAAGGGCCCCCCACACCTGCTTCTTGGCTCTCCCCAAGTTGACTGGCCAAGACCCCTGGGACAATGCGCTTCCTGTAGTCTGTCAGCAAGTGTAGATGTTATACACCCCAACATTATTAAATACTTGAGTTATAGCATCATCGGGCTCAAAGGAATCTTTAGAGGTTTCCTAGGAGTTCCAGGCAAATATTTGCCTGTCTTTTTCTTGAAAATGTCTAGGGAAGGACAATTCCATGGCCTGCTTTATTGAAACTGCATACTAATGGGATGTCAAATCTGGAGCAGTGCTTGCATCAAATTAAAAGCATCAAAGAAGAACAGAGAGGGGGAGTGGGACTTTGTAACTCTGGAGTTTTTGTGTTCCTCCAAGTGTCATAGTCACTTTGACAAGAGGCCATGCTGAGTGACCCCCTGTGTCTGCAGGCTGGAGTGTCTCCTGCCCATGGTCCTGTTTGTGATGAGGCAGAGAGTGTGTCATTTCAGTATTCCTCCTCCGTGAAGCCCGCTCTTCCCATTGACATGTAATCAGCATCCACTTTGCCTCCAATGAAATGATGAATGTCTTTGGTTGCAGAAAAAGCTTTGTGATCAGTGTATTTTTATGTGCACATGTTGATTTTTTTTTTTTTGCGAGAAAGTGCCCCGTTGGGAAACTGGTGAGACAGATAGAATGCTGCTTCCACATCTTTCTCCCCACCAAGACCTTTACTCTGGGGTCAGCCCCCACTTTGCTGCCTTGCCTGGGGTAGCATGTGTGGGGAGTCTATGCGCTGTGGCCCTTTAGACTAGAGTTCCTGTTTGTGGGAAAGAAGGGTCCCATGTGCTCTGAATGATCTCATGAAAAGAGCATTTGATTTAGGATGCTTCTTTCCTCCCCCCACCCCCAAAAAACAAATCCTTGTAGCAGTAAACTGGAGGCTTTCAGGATGATTCCAACAGATGTCCTCTGTGTCCATTGAAGTTTAAGATGGGGGGGGGGGGGTTTCAGGTCAAACACAAACCTCCTTTTTTAGTGTTGAGCTAGTTATTTTATGATTCCCCCTATCCCCTTTGGTGTCCTTAATGAGTCTTTATGGGGCTTTTCACTTTTCCATGTGCCCCTATTTCTGCCATTTTGAGGTCATCATTTGACTTTCCGAGTACAGAGATGAGTGATGGACCTTGCTCTCCATTTTGGAGGAGCTTTGAGGTCATAGTTATTCATTCTCCTTCTTTAGTGCTAATAATAATGTACTTTCAGAGTCTCTGAGATTGTCTATTTAATGTCAAAAGTGATTCAATGTTTCTAGAATCTGTTGATGATCTTAATTCTGTCTGGAGATGTTTCTTAGGAGAGTGATAGATTTGAACTTGTGGACTGGCCTGTGACTTAGAACAGGGAATTCAAGTTTTAGTTCAAATCAAACTAAGTCAAACACCTGGACTCTGAATGCATGGGAAGCTAACAGAAGGAGGCAAGCAGGGGATCGAAGCCGGAAGGAGGGCCAGGACACTGTGGTAGAGAGAGTGTGTACTTTGGTGAGTGAGGTATGGTAGCACATAATTTTGAAGAGGTATGGAATTGCACCACTAAAAGATGAACAGTCTTGGAATCAGCATTATCTTGATAAGAATATTTTAATAAATGACAAAAGTACACAAAGCATATCTTAAGAAAAATTTTAGTTCAAGTCAACAAAGGGAAAGTCAACCTAATACACAGTTCACTAAATGCATAGAAACGATGATTTAAACAGAATTTTCCCTAATAAGCAGAATACTATAACACAGATAAAAAGCAAGCCTTTCCTTTTTCCAGCTTCATGTTCATACTTTTGGAGTTTTTTGGTTTTGTTGTTTTAGTGAAGCAAGATAGGTTGTTTTATTAAGCAAAATTACTTAGAAAGTTTAAGAGGAGAAAAACAGAAGCATAAATGTATAAATGTTCAAGAGAAAACACAGGCATTTTCAGGATGGGTGGGGAAAAAAAGAAGAAAGGAGGTACTTGGGTCAGAGCCGTAGTACTTAAGTAGGGATTTTTCTTTGCATGTGGCTTTTTCTTTGCAGATTTGATTCTTGGCAACCCAAACTTTTCATTGAGCCGTGCCAGGAGTGATCCCTGAGTACAGAGCTAGGAGTAACCTCTGAGCATTGCCAGGCATGCCTCCACTACAGGAGGGGTGGAGGGGGAGAGAGAGAGAGAGAGAGAGAGAGAGAGAGAGAGAGAGAGAGAGAGAGAGAGAGAGAGAGAGAGAGAGAGAGAGAGAGAGAGAGGAGCAGCGAGGGAAGAGGGGAGGGGGAGGGGACCGATTTTGGAACCTTCGTGCAAGAGTCTGTGTCTCTCTGCTGTGTGTCTCTGGGTAGGGGGATTGGTTTTTTAATTTTTGTTTTGGAATCACAGCCAACTTTGCACATGGATTACTCCTGACTCTGTGCTCAGGGATCACTACTAATAGGCTTGTACCACCATATTTAGTGCCAGGGATCAAGCCTAGGTAGGCCATGTGAAAGGTGAGTGCCCTCTCTGCTGTGCTATTGCTCCGGGCACAGTTACTGTCACTGTCCTGTCACTGTCCTCCCGTTGTTCATCAATTTGCTCAAGCGGGCCCAGTAACGTCTCTATTGTGACAGTTGTTACTGTTTTCGGCATATCGAATACGTCACGGGGAGCTTACCAGGCTTTGCCGTGCAGGCGAGATACTCTCGGCAGCTTGCTGGACTCTCCGAGAGGGGCGAGGAATCAAACTTTGGTCGGCCATGTTGGCCGCTTGCAAGGCAAAGGCCCTACCCGCTGTGCTATCATTCCGGGCACAGTATACTTGTTTTTAACCAACAGATTAACAGGCTGACAATTATCATGAGTCATGCAGTTTGGGAGGTCCCTTTCTTTGAAAGGACATTAGGACATGAGTGTTCCTGCCCTTTGCTTCTATCACCATAGTTCTGTGGTGGAATCAGGAATCCAGAATCTCACAGTGCCTTCAGCCACTCCCGTTCAATTGTTAAGGCCCTGAGGCTTTGGGGTAATGAAGTTGTTTGGATAAAGCAAAGTTCAGCATCATGTTTGAGGGGAACTGACAACTTTCTAGATTTATTTTAGGAATCTTACGTTCTTACTGGACGCGGAAGCTCTGCATGTAGGGAGCAGTTTTCTGGGGTGAACCACAGAACTGGGCTTTCTTCTCTGCTCCCCTGTCTCTGCTGTGAAGCCATGTTCCAGACGTTGGGCTCTTCTGAACAGTGCTCCTTTCCTCTTGCAGTTTTCCTACCTGGAGAAACTCCTGCTGGTTCACGGTGCCTGGAGCTACAATCGGGTGACCAAGTGCATCCTGTACTGCTTCTACAAGAATGTGGTCCTCTACATCATTGAGGTGAGCAAGGCTTTCCTTTGTTTTGGAGAAAGATGGACGGCCTTTGCAGAGTGCACCTTTAGATACTGAGGATCAGTGATGTCAAGGTAGGGTTTTGTGAACACAGACTTCAAGAACAGGTGCCAGGGTGGCATCGTTGAAATCCGTTTCACACATGCATTTTGGAGGCTGAGGGCGCCTTCCTGATCTCCCCCACATTGCATAAACAAGATCAGGCATTTGCACCTTGCTCCTCTACACTGCAGTGTCTTCTCCATTGTCCCCATGGGTGGACAAAGGCCTTCTTGATTCCGCTCTCCCTCCTGGCCTTGACTCCAGTGGCATACAAGCTCCTCTTCCTTGGGTGGGGGTGCGGGTCTTAGTGTCTGGGCAGCAGCTGTTCGCCACTTTCTGTATGGCACTGAGACATTTCTAGGCAATCTGCCCCACATTTTCTCTTTCGTGGAATGACTACAGCCTGGTTACTAGCTAGGATACAGATTGGAGCCTGCTTACATGCATTTCTCATGGAATGGGCGAGTTCCAGGAGTGATCATTCATTGCTTCTGGGATGCTGGACTGCTTCGCTTCATGGGTGTGAGCCAGTCAGGTCATGAAAAATATTTCAGCGAGCTTGTCTTTGGTGGGCAAACATTTTTTAAAGATGCCGTGATTCTGTTATAATAAAAGATAGCATTTTGCTAGCGGGATTAGAGCAGGAGGAATTGAGTGATAACTCTTGAGTAACAAAAGCCTCGATTTTGAGGCTAAGGGGTGACAATTGTAAAATGGTCCTGTCTGACTCCCAGACACAAGTTGGATAGAGGAGACAAGAAGATACAAGGCATAAACATGTCATGCAACCACAGTGGGGAAATCGCCCCTCTGCTTGTGCCTTCAAAATATCTCAGGGGGATGAGACAAGGTCCAGATGTTGAGGGGAATAATTATCAGTAGGACCCAGACTGAGGGTGAAAAGAAACTGCACACTCACGGCATTTCTTAGCAGTGTCTGGCTGTCACTCTGACATCAGCCTTGACTCTCAGGACTGAGTCACATGGGCACACAGATAAAACACAGGGCTTCGTCTTCACTCGGGATTTCTGCTCAAGAGTATAGTCTCACTGGCATCTTCTCTGAAAGTGCCCTGCCTTTCTAATCATTAATTTTCTTAAGGAATTCTTTCACAATCCTGTTCTGTTACCTTCCAACTGCAAAGATGAGACCAGAGGAAAGTAGGAAATGTGTTTTATGTTTGAATTAAAAGGGAATACCAGCCAACTCCTCCCTCTTTTTCAAGCACTGCTCTGCTGGAAAGGGTGTGACTTTTAAGGCCCAATATCAAGAAAGATTTCCAGATGCATGCAGAAATGAAGAAACAGTAACTGTGTACAAAGATAGAAAAATCAATGTTTATCATGTAAGGTGTTATCTCATACTGTCTGGGCTGTATTTCATTCTATTACGACTTACTTTGCATCTCATTTCTCAACCATTCTTGACCAGAACAATAACCAAGGTGTAGCCCAGCTTTTACTGATGTGGTCCTAAGGGACCACACTCAGCTCAGATCATTAACAAGAGGTTTGCATGTGTGGGAACAAACACAGCAGCTTGTGTTACTTATCCCCCTTAAAATTACTTAATGAAAACTTTTTCTCAAGTGGTAGCTCAAATTCTTCACTTCCCAAGGCTGACCAGCAAAAAAAAGCAAAAGAGGCTGGGTAGAGAGGTATTCTTCTAATTTACATAAAGGGCAGAACACTAGCTCAAGCAGGATGTGGCTTCCTTTGCAGACAAAAGACCTCTTACCTTTTGCACAAAAGCATCTTGTGGGTTGAGGAAACCTGATTCTTAAAGAAGCACTCACAGGAGAGGTTGAAATCCTGAGGCCTGACCCATTCTTCTTCTGAAAGGACTCTTGAGTGTTAAGTTTCCTCTCCATAGGGAACCAGCAAGTAGGGAACCTCTAGGAAGATAATGTCCTACTGTGGTGGGATCTTGAGAGATTTGGGGATGTCCTTTTTATTCAATTTTATTTTATTCAATAAGTTAAACAGCAATTGTTTAAAAAAAAACTAAGATGCCTCTGCTTATCTTGCTCTGTGTTACTCAGTCCACTCCGAGGAAACCCTGTTAGATATTCTCTGTAACAATCAGAGCATTTTTTTTCTTCTTCCTGTCCTCTTCTGGTTCCCCTGTCACCCTAATGATGTTTGTTCCCTATTGCTTGCCACAACTTCTGTATCCATGATAGGTTTCACTCCTCCGTGTCACTCAGGGTCAAAGATAATTCGTGTGACCATAGCATTGGAATCTCTGTTCCCACATCCCAAGTTCCACATGTATTTTAAAAGCCTAAACACTGCCTTCTCAAGATTTCTTAATAATCTGGCTTTCCTCACAATCAGCAAATTTCAGATAGTCTAGACTTCCTAGCCTTCTTATCAAGACATTCTTTACAGAGCCCCAAGCCTCCAGCTTCCCAGATCATTCCTGTGGCCCTTTCTTGCTCATTTACACCTACTATCTTACCTAAAAAAAATCCAAACAGGCTGAGGTGCAATTTTAATTTTTCTGAAAATTTCTATATGGAACAAAGCCCTGAAAAAGTGCTAAGTGAGTTTCTAACTTAATGATTTTAAATCTAGCTGGAAAAAAATTGTAAGTGGCCTTCTATAAATAACCTCTTAAAATTCTTCCCTACAAATCAGGAAACAGAAGTCACTATACCCTTTGCCCAATTCTGTTTAGTATTTCTCAAAGTTACTGATTTGAAAACAGAGAAATGAAAATCCTTGATGGAGCCCAGTTAGAGTGTTGACTTTCTCTTGCCACTGCCCAGTTATTTCCGAGGACTATGAAGGCACTTCAAATGTCATTTTAAAAATAGAAAGGTACTACTTTGCATGCTGTTTTAGGGCACCTTAAGCTGAAAGGTCAAAGATTACTGCTTTTGGTTCACTCAATTGTAAGGAATAATTTAACATTCTAAAGATTATCTTTAGTTACTTAGTAGTAAATGACATAAATGGCATGTCTCTGAAATTATTTTATTGTATCTCAAGGAGAAACCTTTAACAGCAGCCACCATATTTTCATCTAAAATTTCCTATTATATATAATTATCATTAAAATAGTACACTCTAGGAGCCATTTGATAAGCCTTTGGTCTTTGTTTGGGAGTCACAACTGATGGAACTCTAAGCTCACTCCTGTCTCTATGCTCAGAGCTCATCCCTGATGGGTTGGGGGACCATATTGATGTCGGTGGGCCCCACGGGTGACTTATGTGAAGTGGGGAGGAGAAAGACAGTCACTTTCTCCCCACCCGCCTCTGTCTCCTGGGGCCCTGGGTAGGCTAGGACAAGCCACACCTGAAGTCCGCTTGATCTTCTCAGCACGGGAGTTAATCCCCACCACCGGATTGCTCGGGGAGCCACGGACTCGAGCTGGGGCAAGAATTCGCTCTTTGCAGGAAAGGAGAGACCAGTCCCAAGCCTTACCCGAGGTTTCTGGGGTTCTTGTCTCTCTCGCAGAAAAGAATTTCAGGAGTAGACGAGCAGTGAAGTAACAGGTTTTATTTGGAGGCTTTTGGAGAGGGAGAGAAAGGGATAAGCAGATAAGCGGGGGAGAGAGAGAGAGAGGGTAACACGTCCAGAGGGAACGCGGGCTTCTCCTAGGGTGGAGAGAGTGCCAAGTGGGCTCTCGAGCTGGTTCTTATAGATCCTTCTGACTCGGAATGTTCTGGAATCTCCTTGGGGCTTGGTCGCTGGAGTTAACCGATTGAAAGGGGGTTCGAGAATCTTCTGACTTGGAATGTCCTGGAATCTCCTTGGGGCTGGGTCGCTGGAGTTAACCGGATTGAAAGGGGGTTTTTGGAAAGGAGGAATTTCATGGGGAGGAGGCCCATATCTTCAGGGTCTGGGGATGGTCTTATCAAGTCCTTATTCTCTGTCTCCACAGGGTGGGTCGGTCCTAGAATTCTTCTATGAGACTTTGTTTCATTGCAGAGAACCTTTCCCTATCTACCTGCCTACATCAATATGGGATGCCAGGGATCAAACCTTGGTCAGTTGTGTGCAAGGCAAGTGCCCTACCAACTATACTAACTACCAACTATACTATCGCTCTGTCCCCAGTAAATTTTTTTGAAAAGTTATACAAGTTATGAGGGTCATTATCTGTGTTGCATAAAAGCTTGTTTAGAAGTTCAGTGAGTCTGTGATTAAAACACTCTTCTTCCTTGGTACATGGGAACCTATCAACGTTGGTGTATCTAGAAAGATGAATCCACAGCTAATACTTCAGTTGCATGAAGCACAGACGGAAGATCACCCTCACTCCCATCCCTCATCCCTTCTTGGATATGCTTTTCTGACCTTTCCCTCTGTGCTTACAGAGATGTTTATATGGAGATGATTCGTTTATCTGAACAAATCAGTTTTTCTGCATAGATGTGCCCTGCTCTATACTAAGTTGTTCTCAGAGATCTTTCCGCTTTGACCCCATGGGTGCTGCTCTGCCCTGTCTTTGCAGTATAGCTTGGGAACTGTGCTGCTGTTCTTGGCTAGATCTGTGGTGAGAGCGTTTCCAGTGTATTATGGGCGTCAGGATTCCTTCCTGTATAGACCCCCAGTGTCCCACCAGAATGACTTTGCTCTCATTTGACCTTTCCACGGTAGGGCCCTGACAAACCCACCCTCAGCTCTGCTGCTGATAAATGCTAATACTCTATTTATTCAGGTTAAAGTTGCCATTGGTTAGAGTGATTTTGAGAACATAGTAAAACAATCAATGATTTCTAATGGCCTGGTTGAAAGTAAAATTGAAACCATGTATAATTTTGACTCTCCATCCTGCTACTGACTTTTTCTTAGAAACATTTTGGTTGATGTACAGCCTTCCTTTCTCCCTCTCTCCTTTACTCCCATTTTTTTCTTCCTTCCTCACTCTTCCCTCCCTCCTTCCCTCCCTCCCTCCCTCCCTCCCTCCCTCCCTTTCTTCCTTCCTTTTTCCT